CGGGCGCTGTCTGTGCGGCCAGGCCTGCGAGGGAGGCCCGTAGGCCAGGCCGGGAGCGGAGGGGCTGCCCTGGCACCGGGGAACAGCAGCCCCCCGCTCCTTCCCACAGCCGGAGCGTGACCGAGGCCGCTGTAGAAAACCAGGGGTAGCAAACGCTTGAGAGATCTCTTCTCAAGGCTCTCTGAAACGGGGCTGCGTTGCCAACTCCCCTCTTTGAGCAATTACACAAGGAAAGTTTAACCTAAGACTCATTTTTAAATTGGTTACATTGTTGCATGGAGGGCTTGTGCCACACCGTAACCCTATGCAGGTATTTCATTTCCCTGCAGACTGGGGGCTCAGGGGCCACAGAGATAAGAAATCCCCCTCCAGCTCCTGCCCTGCCCCAGGGTTTAAAAAGCATTTTATAAATACAAGTATTTTCAGCTTTCTCATGCCTGGAGTGAGCTATCCCTCATCTTCTTGACAGGTAGCAAAGCAAGAGGCCCAGAGGGATAGGCAGCGTGCTCGGTGTCATACAGTAAGTCAGAAAGAGCATATAGGAGGATTCTTTGCAAGTGCTGCAGCTGTAAAAAAGGTTCTTCATCCATTTGAAAAATGCAGGAACACACCTGAGATTGGCATCTTCGATACTTCAGCAGACCTAGGAGGGAAGCCATTCCTGTCTGGGGCATGGAGTGATTATTTATTCAGTGATATGAGATGGGTGTTGGTCTCTTCTGCCAAGTAACCAGCGATAGGACGAGAGGAAATAGCCTTAAGTTGAGCCAAGGGAGGTTTAGACTGGACATTAGGAAAAACTTCTTTACTGAAAGAGTGGTCAGGCCTTGGAACAGGCTGCCCAGGGAAGTGGTTGAGTCACCATCCCTGGAGGGATTTAAAAGACGTGTAGATGAGGCGCTTAGGGACATGGTTTAGTGGGCATGGTAGTGTTGGGTTGACGGTTGGACTCGATGACCTTAGAGGTCTTTTCCAACCTTAATGATTCTATGGTTCTATGACCAGAACCAATTTATTGGCAGAATATTTAAAAAGCAGGGAAAATACTTCAAAAAAGCCCCTTATGGAAAAGGCTGGTGGCTGGAGATGTTTGTTCCAAAAAGAAAAACCACATTCCCGCGGCTTACTTCCAGGCTAGCTCTTAGCAGGGTCTTCACCTATCACCATGCTGCTTCTCCCTGCTGCAGTCAGATCTGAAATGCTCTGTAGATGGAAAAGAGCTTAGAGAGATAGTTAGCTGCTCTCACAGCCAAGCATCTGCTCACCCAAACAGCATTCCAGGCGTGCGCTACACCTCCCAGCTTCACAGCAACACACAGGGACAGCAGGGAAGAAAGGGGAAACTATTTCTCAGGCATTTACATTTGGTTTTAATAGTCAGGGAGCCTTTTGGATGCCTGGGTGGCATCCACGCTTTTGCCCTGGGAAAAAAGGCGGCTCAGGCTCCATGCTGACATCTTCTGGGAGGAGAAGACTGCTGGAAAAATGAGGTTTTCCTCTTGGACTCTGTTAACACCCTATTTGTCTTAAACTGAAGCTAACAGCTAGAGTGCACAATGCAGAGGGGAAAGACTTGCAGTAGGGATGTGGAAAAAGTAATCTACAAGGTATAAGGTCCCTCTCCCCCTGCTAGCCTTCCCTCTGCTTTTCAGCATCACAACACAGAAGCTAAAATACATTTTAAGGTTCACTCCCCCTGCACCGCTTCCCTGACTTCCAGCAGTCTCAAAATTGCAATCCCTTGGGGCCACAGAGAGTCCTGCTCCCCCACTGACTTCTGTTTAGTCTTCGGCTGATTCCCCAAGCGGGTGACTGACTGCTGCTTTAGCCGGCTGCTGGCACCATCTGCAGCCCCTGCAAGTGAGGGAAGATGAAGTACTTGGTCAAGTTTCTCACGCTTCGATTTGAGTCTCATTGCCAGTCAAAATGGGGAAGAGACAGATTGCCACGGGCTGTGGAGGGGAGAGTTTGGCAAAGGCACTAGGATCCGCACATAGTTGCCTTAAGAAAATCCCAAGATGGCACTTTCAGTGGAAGCAGTATGTTGTCACATGGCTAACTCAGATTAAATTTTGTACTTCATATATGGATTAGACTAGGATTATGAACACCTCTGAAAATGTTATTTTCTCTTCCTAAGAGGCTAAAAGGGAGATGGAGTGTAACTCATTCTGGAACATTGCCCATGTCATCTGTTGCAAAAAAAAAAAAGAAAAAAAAAGGCTTAAAACTTGGCTGTAAAACCCCTACCCATGTGACTGCTTTCCCAACTGGACTGTTTGTGTTGCATTTACAGCTCCTTAGGTTCAGATTGCAACAGAGCAAGTGCTGAAGAATATAGTAGTGCCTCCTGGGCCAGACAACCTGGTATTTCATGTACTCACCCTTGACTTGCTTCTGTAGGACCCGTCCTTCGACGCGATCAGCGTTGCTCTGCTGGATGGTGCTTGCAGGAGCATTGTCTTTTGGCAGCACCTCCAGTGGAGTCCCCTCTATCAAAGGCAGGGAGAGCTTCATTATACACGGTGGGAGCAGAGCACGGTTTAAAAACATTTTGCAATGCATGAGTCGCTAATAGCTAGCCAAAATAAATTATAGCATTGTAAATCAAAAGTTAACCATTTTTAAGTAAAAAAAAAAAAAAAAAAAGAAAAATTAATTAGTATCAGTAGGCACCTCTTGCCAGAATAGGCGGGAATCTGATGCTTACCTTTCGAGGTCTGAAAGACACCAGGTTGAGTTAACCTCAGTGGTGATGTCTTTCACCTCTGATTGTTGCCACGTTGTACCAAAAAGATTCCCTTCACACCTGACTTTGGCTTGGCTTGCTGTTTAGGCAGGAGATCAAAGGCATTATAGAAGAATAAAGATATTTAACTTATTTCCTTATGCAGTTTGTACTATGTTTCTCTTACCATATTTATAAACCACCCTAGCTCCATTGGGTCTATGCCTTCTGCTCAACCCGTTCCCATTTGAAAGAAACACAAAGGACCTGCCCTGTGGAAGTTTGGTTCGAGAGAACGAGATCTCTTCTTTCTGGCTGTCCTCTCAGCAGGCATCTCCTGGTCTCTCCTGTTCTTCAGCTCTCCCCTGGCTGGGAAGCACAGCTGGCTCCCAGCTGTAGGCTCCAACAGCAAACCCCCAATACGTGCACTCTCTCTCGTCTGACAATCTGGGGTGGAATTGGTCTCCACATACTTTAGCTCAAGCATATCCTCCTCAGAGAAGTGGGCTAAGAAGACTTCGTTCCCAAGGTCTCTGTGTTGGGCTCTGGAACGATGGCTGGCTGCAATGGGGGAGATGCTTTCGGTGTTGGCAGCAATTTCCTTCAAGGTGTCCAGACTCAGTGGAACAGCAGCAATGTCTGCAGGTGACTTTTTCCCATGCAAGTCTAGAGAGGTGGGGAGACGCAGCCTGGGAGTCATCTTCCCTGCAGCAACACCTGTTGGTTTCTGCTAAAAATCAAAGCAATTGCAGCATAATCTGCTTTTCATTCAAAGCTTTTATATTTTTCCCCTTCAAAGCACTTTCAAACATTTGGAAGACATTGAATTTCACCTGAAATATTGTTATAATGAAATCATGCCCAGATGCAGTGCATCTGGATGGAAACCACTTCACAAACACAGAGTGACTGGACCATGGAAGGATCAACAACCCCAGTCTGCGCTGCCATCAGTTTTTCCATTCAAACCCAAGTCCAGAATAAGGTCTAAATAGAGGTGAGGTATCTACTGTTTATACTTTTAGTCTTGATCTTAAACTTGATGGTAGAGGTAGCTGGTTGCCTTACGGAGCTACATCAGGCAATTGCACTGCAGTGCAGTACCATGTGCAGGCTACAGTCTCCTTACAAGCACCAGGAGGGATTAGGGATGTGTTTCTCAATAGCAGAAATCACCCGTTGCAAATATAGCACTTTAATCTAAGGTGCAGAATCGCATGGACTTAATCTATCTTAAACCCCTGGGTACCTTTGGCAGACCACCACCCTCCCAAGTTTTTCCTCATCACACAGGTAAATCTCAAACTTACGCTTGATCTCATCCTTTTGTCATTTTTGTTGGGGGGACCATGGGATATTGGCATTTCTCATCGTGAGTTTGGAGGTCCATGTATAAATCATGCTGAAAGCTATGGAGATACTCACTTTGTGATTGTTACGAGGTATCAACGTGCAGCTCAATGTTGGGGTTTTCCAGCTCCATCAGGCTGCAGCACATCTCCATTTGCTCCTGGAAAGCCCCAATCAGCTGTGCCCACAAGGTGTTCATTACTTGGCCACTGAGTGCCTCAGAGCCTTGGTGCCTCTCTGCTGCAGGAGAAGACATTTCTGATCTGACGTTAGGCCAGGTAAACTTCTGCCAAGTCCCCACAAAACTACTCTGAGACCAAGCCACTCAGTCCACGTGTTACAAGGCATTTGTTTATAGGACTCTGCTTCATTCTGCAGTCTCTTGAAGTTAATCATGTGCTTAAGAACTCTGATATATCTCTATGATTGTATTATTAGCAATAAATAGGTCTTGTTGCTACTGCTTTTGTGAGTATTAAGAGGATACTGCATTGCAGGGACATCTCTTCCACCTTTCCAGCCACCAAAAAGAAAAAGGTATCCGTTTTCTGTGCTTGTTATCTAGAAATGACCTTGGGTATTGGTAAGAGACCTATAATACCTCGTGTCTTGCCTGTTAGAGAACTTGACTATTTTTATTTCATTCCTTGCCAGATTCACTGACAAAAGGAACAATCCCCAGGGCAGAACAATCAGTGTTTTAAAAGCTTCGCCCTGCACCCTCCCTATTTTATTTTTTTTTAATTAAGTACAATGAACCATACAACAGAGCTCCTTGTCCTGACACAGCCTCAGAGCCTGCGATGACGCAGGCTACAAAGTTGGTCACCCCTCTGTGAGGGTCAGGACTTCCCACAGCAAATGCCACCGCTTGATGTCAAAGCTCTTTTCAAGGGTAGGTTTGTGAAATTCAACACATTTTAATGTTGGGGAAGATGCTGAGAAGGTTGAACATGTCCAGCATCACACAGCACATCAGAGACAGGCTCACACAGAAAAACAACTTCATTTCCGTTGCCTGCCTTCTCTGTCCATCAGAGTGTGTTCTCCGCTCTGCTTCTCATCAAGCATTGTTGAACCAGCTTCCCCCCTCTACGTCTGCATGGAGGCCCACCAAGTGCTACCACAACACATCCACACCGCTCCTCTCCCAGCTCCCTTCCCTCCAGATACCCCAGAAGACTTCTTGCTTCTGGCTCTACCTTGCAGATCCCCGAGGTTGGAGCTGACTGCACTTTTCTCCTTCTCCTGGGTTTCAGACCTCTTCTTCAGATGCTCTGTCTCCCTGCGGAGGTCCAGGATGATGCTGGTGTATTGGTCAATGTGGTAGGAGATGTTCTGCAGGTTACATTTTACCTGGTGAGCCAGAATACGTGAGCATTTGTCCCACAGTCTGTTATTGGTACGATGGCTGCAAACAAAGCTATGCTTTCAGTTGGAGGGGTACTGAATCCTGTGAAGAGGAAGAATTTTCCCTCATGCATGGGGAAACTGTAAATTAGTGGTCTTCCCTTGGTACGGTGGCTGCAAATAAAGCTATGCTTTCAGGAGGGGCACTGAATCCTGTGACGAGGAAGAATTTTCCCTCATGCGTGGGGAAACTGTAAATTAGTGGTCTTCCCTAATTCTGGGAAATTCCCAAAAGCTAACAGAGAAAAGCCAGGGACCCTGTGTCCATAGGGAAAACAGGGAGATCCACAAAGAGTGAAAACCCTGTTGTAGATCATTGTTCATCTTCCTTCACTCCACGAGCCTCTCCATTTTATTACTCCTTTCTGCAGCCCCTCAGTTCCTCTTCCAGGCCCAGCATCCCCACTGGGACATTCCCCATACATTGTCCTCCCAATAGCCATCTTCTGACCATCATTCCTTATATTCTGCATCCAGGTCCATACCAGGCACATCATCCTCTGCCTTTCCATTATTCTGCTCCCTTGTTTTGACCCTCATATTCCTCTTCTCATCCACGACCAGCACAATTTGCTTTCCACTGTTCCCTTCATCTGCTTTTCTCCTCTTCTATCACTTACACTGAGCTTCTATACTGTCCTGCACTGCCCCCTCCTGAAGTTTGTTCTCCCTTCATCCACCACATCTTCTATTTCCACTTTGCGAGCTTTTAATCTCTAACCCCCACCTCCTTGTGAGTTGTTTGCTCATTTACCTGTGTCTTGATGTTTTTTTGCTCGATAGGCATAGATCAAGGTCATTCGAGATTCTTCAAAGGAGGTACTGGCTGGGCTGATGCTTGCAGTCATTAACAGTTCTGCTGTTGCCCCTTAATGAGTCCTAGAGGGATGCAACGTTGATGTGGTTAGTATGGACATGACAAGGGCTTGTTGCTTGGTGGTAACCACCGTGGCTGGGCACCCTTGCGGTTCATTGAGATTCTGGTGGAGAATCCCAATTAGAAGTGAAGGAAGTGCTGGTAAAGAACCATTCATTAGGCTCTCTCTCCATCAACAGCAAAATCAATGAGTAATTAACTTTCTACAAAAGAAGAATTTTTGCAAGAAAATTGCAGTTTCCGCAAATACACTGGCAGCTTCCCAATGCTGCTCACAACAGAAGCCTGTCTTTTTCTCCATCCCTTCTCCTCCGCACCATCCTCTAGAAAACACATCTGTCAGGCAGCAACAGTGGTAGCTCAGCACCAAGGCTTGAGGTGAGGTTCATAAGTGAAGTTGTAAAGGATCCATAAAATAACCAGTGTACCAAGGAACCTGTCTGCAACCTTTCCGATTTCCTAAGGGAGAGATGACTTGTGACAGCATATAGTCACTCTTAGTCTCTCTTCCTCCTGCCCCAACAACATCCAAATTTATTGGCCAATTTCAGCCAAATCTTATAGAAGGGATGAAACATTCTAAGGCAGTAAGTTCATTAAAAAAGAAAAAAAAGAGTCCCTTACCACCTGCGAGCTTAGAGACATACGACCCAAATCTATAGGATTTCCTTAACTCTGTAGGAGGTCCTTCCTTAACATGCAGATGACAAGACAACTTGGTTATTATAGAGACAGGACTGTCCGAGTCAAGCCCTGATTGCATTGCAAAGCTCATGCAAGATCCTGGAGGAGCATTCCAAGCTGGATGAAGACAATGCACAGAGATATTCAAGGATCAGCTCTCAAGCCCTGTCTGATTTGAGCGGTGATACCGGCAACAGACACGCCAAGCTCCTTGCTGACCCGCAGCGCACAGTACCTTCAGCAGGCGTGAGTTTGGTGTCTCAAAAATTGACAAACTGGGCCTGGCTCCCTCCCTTCTCACTCAAAGCGTTGATGCAGTTGCCCAAAGCCAGCAGTGAGCGGTTGATGTGGGCTCCTTCCTTCACCCTCTTGCCCCGGGTTCTGAGTCTGTTGGGAGGGGAGGGAGGGAGGGGGGACGGACAGACAAAGCACACGCTTCAGAACGGTGGGTCTGCACCTGGGGAAGATGTGCAGCATCTCTGGGGTCAAGGTTTGGGTGTCAAAGCAATGCATCCTGCAAAATCAACCTGAAAGTGCAGGGTTAAACCCCACTCTGAGGCACAGAGGTGCTGGTAGGACTAGGTTTCTTGGACATGACCCAGCTCTGACCTCTTGGTTTTTAAAAGATAGCTATTAATTATCTTCTAAAGATTATTTCAGAAATTAACTACATCACTCCAGAATCCCTGGTCTCAGTAGAAATACTGAGTGTGTAAAAATCTCTCTCCCTCAAATCACCTCCCTGAGTTCCAGCGTTTCATCCTTCCCATAGGAGCCAGCTGCCTTATTTTCCACCCACCAGCATCCCTCTATTCCACTGGTAAGAGCTTTCTCTCCGACAGCCGATCCCTGCCTAACAGACCTCGCTTCTCTTTAGATGTGAAATTCGCTGCTGCTTTTTCAGACCTGAGAAAAGGCTGCACCCGAAAGCTGGTTTACAGTTTTCCAATTATACTAGCTGGTCTGATAAAAAGATATTACCAATATCATCAAACTTTGTCTTTATTTTCAGGCTGTCTCAGGTACGAACTACTGCTCTAAAGCAACAGAAAAACACGCAGTGCTGGTTTCCCCAGGGATGAGGACATCAGACCCTGCACGGCAGGCCAGGGAATCCAGCCTGCTCTCACCAAAAGCTGCCGAGCTCCAGCCGTACCTGGGCTGCTTTCTCCGACCCCAAGTCAATCACGAAAAGCTTTCCAATTCACACTTCCTCGCCGATCGCCTTCCTTTGGCTTTTCTGTGTCACCGTCACCTGCAGCACTGCGTGGAGCGGGAGGACGTCTTGTTGGCAGCAGTGGGTTCCTGGGTGCGTTTCTTACTTCCTTTCGTTAACGGCTGCATGACCTAAACGATGCGGAAAAGCACGCAGAGATGTGCAGCTCTGCCTGAGCCATAGCATGGCGTTCCCTGCAGACTGAACCCCTGACCCAGGGCACAGGCAAACTCTGGTCCCGCTCGTGCTAGCAGCTGATTTTCCCCAGATCTCCCCCTTTCGCTTGTGACCTTGGAAACGCGGGTTTGTTGGGTTCGGGGCTGTTTTCCTGGGAGGCCTGTTTATCTCATTTCCAAGGCACATGTAGAAGTGCGCATCAGTGTAGCTCCAGGGGGTTTCGTTATTTCTTCTCTCTCTCCATGTGGTTTGTTGACACGTGTACACAAATCAAAGCAGTCTTGTCCTTCCAGGAAAGCAGCATGCACCCTGGGGAAGCAGAGCTAGCAGGAGGTTAGCTGGGGATTTTAGCCTGGTTTCTGCCACTCGCATGGCTCCATGATCAGCCCTTTCCATACAATTCATCACATGAATCCAGTTCCGCCAAGGTCCTACTACAGAAGGTCCTTGCTACTGAGTAAGGCACAGGCAATAGGAAAGCGTCAAGAAATTTTAAAGCACTGATGCATAAAAGCACAAATCCCCTCCCTTTCCCCTCACTGTGGACCATAGCTCAAGGTACCTTCTGAGCATTTGTAGTGGAGACTTCCGTAATTCCTGCTATCTGGATGCTGCCTCTGGGGTCCTCTCTCAGATTTAAGAATCCCAAGGATGGGTTCAGGAGGTCACGGATCACTTTGTCATAGACCTGAGGGTAAGAAACGAGGGGTTGGTATGAGACTAGCATTGGGTCCTTAGATCTGCAAAGAGGGTTGAGTTGATCCTGTATTTCTTTGGGGTGGAAGGGAAGAAAGTTTGAGCTGTGCAACCCAAGGGGAGAGATGGACAGACTTGGACATCCCACTTCCCATTACGCCTGCTCCCAGGGGTTGCTGAATTCCCACAGAGCCTGGATCCAGGGCACACAGATACTTCACCTCCAGGTAGGACATGGAGACTCTGTAATCCATCTCCTCAGTGGTAGCTTCAAGGACCTTAAAGAGGTCATCAAGAGTGAGGATGTAAATCCCTGGTTCACAGTCCGTCCCTAGCATCATATAGGTTTTTCCTGCTGCTTTTAAAGATGCAAAGAAGAGCAGCTAAGACCAACTTCCACAACAAGTTTCCACAACAAATAAAACCTGGTTTCCTACTGATTTCTGTCCTTCATCCCCTAGCTTCCTCCAGTTATTCCAGTTTCTCACCCCACAATGGCACTGCTGCAGGAAAGACATGGCACATGCCATCCAAAATGGGTAGGAAGAGGACTTGCAGATGGGCAGATAGGTAGGTTAACTGCCCACCTAGGTGTTCAGAGCTGGGGTAGAAGTGTATTTTCATATAGTCTGTAGTCTATAGGTGCTTTCTACAGCTGTATCTATTCTCCTGAGATCAGTCTCCAGCATTGCACAGACACCCTCATCTCCTCCTCCTCCTTTTTAATGGGAAGATTTGTCTCCACCGAATTCCACCCCAATTGAGTGACTTTTCAAACAGGGCAGCTTTGCTGTTACTTTAGCATTAAAGGAAGATCCACACTTCCTGATGAGAATGGTATTTTAATGCTTTAGTCTTGTCCTCACAGTAAGCAA